GCAGTCAGCCAGTGAGGAGAGTAGCGGTGGCAAAGTTTCCTACTCGGCGGTGTGGGCAATTTTTTTTTCGTCAAGCCGCCCGAGGAAGTAAACGTAGCCGTATGTCGACTATGTGGCCAGAAAAAGTCAAGCGTGGCCAGGGGGGGCCCATGTTTTGTGGACAACAGCGCGTTGCGGCAGCATATGCAAGCGTCGCCATTTTGGTGGCCTGGGAAAACCCGTGATAAAGATACGGCGGTTCTGCCCCGCCCCCAGCCCCCCCGCTCCATCACACTCCTCCGTTACTTGCTTGCTCCGTCACCCGCGACGTCAATCAATCGCCCTCCATCCAAAGCCAGTCAAGGCTCCAACACACCTCTGCTGAGGGGAGTTGTCGCTCGTTGGCATCTTCCCGCTCGTTCAGATGCTCCTTCTCCTGCCTACTAACTCCTCTTCTTCACGGATTCCGTCAGCAGTCTTTCTTGGAATCCGTTTCCAAGAGACAACAGTTTGCGAGCACGCAACACACCCGACGGTGCAAAAGCTGAACGTCCTCCTGTCCAAGTGTGCTGGTGCTGCAGTCCCTCCCCTTTCCAAGTGGTGGACTCAGCACCTTTCCGAGAAATGATGGCTTGTTGAGCCGCGCCGCGGCGGTGGAGAGTGCCAAGCCGTCATTTCTTCGCCAAAAAGGCAGTGCCAGCCCTGCATTCACATGTAGAAGACATGGTGGGGCCAGTCTTTGAGCATGTCGGTCTCTGCCAAAAGTGCACACGGCAAAGCGCGCCGACGTGTTGTGGAGCTGTAACTACGGTCAGGGACAGTACATACATGTCATTTACGGCCCACTGGGTGAACGTGGTGCCGTCACAGCCGCACCAGCAACTTGGACAGGTCACACGACGCCGCTTTTGCCTCCACGTTTGCACGTCCTTGGTCCACAAAGAGATGTCCGCTCTACCACCCTCTTTCTTCCCCGCCGTGTCCTCAGCCGCCACCCCCACCACCCCCGTGCCAAATTCCCCATTACCCCGACCGGCATATCACATGTGCAGGGCGCAACGGGTGTCACGCTGTTCTGCACCTGGTATGCCTTTGGCGAACGTAGTCACACACAGGGGAGGAAAGGAAACTTCTGAGTGTGTAATGAACAGAGAAATCGACAGATGGCTGTCTCCCTCGCGCGCAAACTGAAAAATCGGAAACCATGTTGACCGACAACGGAAAGAACATGGTGTCTGCTCTGCGTCAAGGAAGGTTGTGCCATGCGCCATGCATGGCTCACGTGTTTCAATCTGGTTGTCAAGCGGTTCTTAAAAATCCACCATCCCACTGCAAGACAGCAATAGACATCCCCTTAAAAATGTCACGTAAACTTTTGCATGCATTTCAGCCATTCCTACACACCGCAAAGCAAGCACACCCCTCCTTGAGCTGCAGCGGCAGAAACGGAATTCCACAGCATCGCCTGATCTGCGACGACGTTGCAACAAGGTGGAATTCAACCCCTACACACATGTTAGACCGCCTTTTACGACGAACAGCGAAAGGCCATCACCGATTTCCTGATGTTACAAGCGGATAAAGGTACTCCCCCCCTGTGTAACTTAGATGTCAGCCCCATTGGCAGCTCATGCGTGACACCTGCCGCTTGCTCAGGCCCTTTGAGGAGGCCACGCTATTCGTGAGAGTCGGCAGGACTATGGGATGGATGAACGACGTCATTCCTCTGTTGCACACGTCCTGGAACAAATGCTGTTAACAATGGCTGGTGGTCAGGGTGCGGGTAGACGTGGCGCACAGATCTCAACGCCACATGACCCCCTGTGGGGGCAGGACAGGAAGAAGAGGAGGAGGTAGAGGAGGACATTTGTGCAGCTCAGGAATTATTATTGAGTGAAATGGGTGGTTTTTTTCCACTCAGGGACAGGAGTGGAGTGGAGGCTAGCAGGAGCATCTGGTAGGTAGAGATGGAGGAGGAGGAGAGACAGAGGACCCAGACGCACCGTGGCAGTATGCTGTGGAGATGGAGGCAGAAGTCCCTCGCATTTCCTCCTTGGCACAAATGGCCCATATAGCATGCCCGGAATTCAAGATTGCTTTGCGTAGCGACAGCCGAATAATAACCATCAGACAGAGGGATGACTTTTGGCTGTCCACCTTTGTTGGGACCCCCTCGCTACCGTTCCAAAAATGGTGTGGCCTTTTTTTCACACCTGCTGAGAGGTAGGGAGGCCAAAATAACGTACTATAAAAAAAACACCTATGTAGTCAGTTGGTCTCTGCCTTTTTGTGCGCCAACGTCCATCCTCAGACACTGTGGGCCCTGTGGCCCTGTGCGCTCGCGCGTTCCGCTGCCATGGCAGCAGGGGAGGGGTGGGGGGGTGGTAGGAGCAGTGGCAGCTCCACCAGCAGCGGCTGCCTCATCATCTGCAGTCGATGATGAGTAGCTTTCTTTCACCAGCGCAGTGAGGAAACTACTAACCAGCCCGCAGCAGCAGCAGCAGCATCAGTGCATGGAGCCTGGTTGCAGCAGGAGCAGGACCTGGAGCCAAGGACCTCAAACAACAGGCTTGGGGGCCTACTTGGACAGCACCCTGCCAACCGACCGAGGTAGACAATCCCCCTTGACTACTGGGGTCAACGAAACTTGACCTTTGGCCCCAACTAGCTGAATTTGCCCTTGAAAAGGCTGTCTGCCATGCCCAGCGGCCAGTAGTAGCGTGGGCATCGGAGCGCGTTTTTTAGTGCGGCAGGAGGTATTGTAACTCCGCGGGAGGACACGACTGTCCACCCCAAAAAGTGTGGAGTGAGAGACTCACGTTTTGTGAAAATGAATCAGGCGTGGATTAGTCTGGATTTCAAACCACCAGTTTCCTGACACAACTGACTAAATCCGCCATGAATCATGGCCTCAAACATGTGCCACTTTGAGGTCTCCTCACACACTGCTGGTGTGTGTTGAATTTTTTTGACATAGGGTGGGCTGGCAGATTACGGGCCTCCTAGCTATGCTGCCAGGCCCCTAATCTGCCATAGGCCCCTATATATAAGGTCCTGCCTCCTCAATGCTGCTAGCCAGACATTCCAGAGTCTCTCAATGGGTCCCTGTACGGGCCTCCCCATTGCTGCTGTCTCCATCGCCACACTCTGCCATGGGTGCCACTTTCAGGTCTCCTCCACACTGCACTGCTGGTGTGTAAACCATTTTTGACATAGGGTGCTCTGGCAGATTATTGGGCCTCCCATTAGCTGCTGCCAGGCCCCTAATCTGCCCATAGGCCCCTATGTAGGAATTGTGCCATATTATACGGCGGCTTTTGTTTTACAACATGGCTGGCAGGCCAGCGTCTCCAGAGTCCACTACATCTCCATGTCACTTTCAGGTCTCCTCACACACTGCTGGTGTTGAATTTTTTTGACATAGGGTGCTGGCAGATTACGGGCCTCCCATAGCTGCTGCCAGGCCCCTAATCTGCCATAGCCCCTATCTCCACACGCCTCCTGAACATCTGCCATGAGTCCTCTCATGGAGTCCCTGTACGGCCTCCCATTGCCTGCTGTCTCCTCGCCACACTGTCATGCCATGTGTGTTTCAGGTCTCCTCACACTGCTGAGTGTGTGTGTAGAATTTTTTGACATAGGGTGCTAGATGCAGATTAACGGGCCTCCCATAGCTGCTGCCAGGCCCCTAATCTGCCATGAGGCCCCTATACCGCCCTCCAATACATGCTGCTGCCAGGTCCAGAGTCTCTCATGGGTCCCCTGTACGGCCTCCCATTGCTGCTGTCTCCCATCGCCATTGCCATGCCACTGTCTCCATCCCACACACTCTGCCATGCTGCAGATTATAAACTCCACTGCTGCCCACTGTTGGTGTGATAAATTTTTTTTTTGACATAGGGGGTGATTGGGTCAGATTACGGGCCTCCTATAGCTCTGCCATGCCACTGCCCAGGCCTGCTAATCTGCCATAGGGTGCCCTCTATATACCAGACGTACCCCCCGTCTCTGCCAGGCCCCTAATCTGCCATAGCCCCTGCCTGCCATGCCAGCTGCAGATAGGTCCAGAGTCTCTCATGGGTCCCTGTACGGCCTCCCATTGCTGCTGTCTCCATCGCCCACACTCTGCCATGTGCCACTTTTTCAGGTCTCCTCACACACACTGCTGGTGTGTTGAATTTTTTGACATAGGGTGCTGGCAGATTACGGGCCTCCCATAGCTGCTGCCAGGCCCCTAAATCTGCCATAGGCCCCTATATACCGCCAATTGTCGCCTTCCTCATCTCATGCTGCCTGCCAGTCCAGAGTCTCTCATGGGTCCCTGTACGGCCTCTCCCATTGCTGCTGTCTCCATCGCCACACCTGCCATGTGCCACTTTCAGGTCTCCTCACACTCTGCTGGTGTGTAGAATTTTTTTTGGCATAGGGTGCTTGATCTGCAGATTTACGGGCCCCCCATAGCTGCTGCTGCCAGGCCCCCCCTAATCTGCCATAGGGTCCCCCCCTATATATACGCCCCTTCTGCTCATGCTGCTCTGCCCAGGTCCCCCATTTCAGAGTCTCTCATGGTCCCTGTTTTTGACATAGGGCCTCCCATTGCTGCTGCTGTCCCTAATCTGCCATCGCCACACTCTGCCATGTGCCACTTTCAGGTCTCCTCACACACTGCTGGTGTGTAGAATTTTTTTTGACATAGGGTGCTGGCAGATTACGGGGCCTCCCATAGCTGCTGCCCAGGCCCCTAATCTGCCCATAGGCCCCTATATAACCGCCTGACCCTCATGCTGCTGCCCCAGGTCCAGAGTCTCCCCATCATGGGTCCCTGTACGGCCCTCCCCATTGCTGCTGTCTCCATCGCCACACTCTGCCATGTGCCACTTTCAGGTCTCTCACACATCCTGCCATGTCGCCACTGCTGGTGTGTTGTGTTTTTTTTTGACATAGGGTGCTGGCAGATTACGGGCCTCCCATAGCTGCTGCCAGCCCCTAATCTGCCCATAGGCCCCTATATACCGCCTTCCTCATGCTGCTGCCAAGGTCCAGAGTCTCTCATGGGTCCCTGTAACGGCCTCCCCATTGCTTGCTGTCTCCATCGCCACACTCTGCCATGTGCCACTTTCAGGTCTCCTCACACACTGCTGGTGTGTTCCAATTTTTTTTGACATAGGGTGCTGGCAGATTACGGGCCTCCCATAGCTGCTGCCAGGCCCCCCTAATCTGCCATGGGGCCCCTATATACCGCCTCCTCATGCTGCTGCCAGGTCCAGAGTCTCATGGGTCCCTGTAGCCTCCCATGGCCTCCCATGGTCCAGAGTGTCTCCATCTGCCAATGTACGGCCTCACCATTTGCTGCTGTCAGGTCCATCGCCACACTGCTGGTGTGCCACTGCCATCTCCTCACACTGCTTGTGTTTTTTTTGACATAAGTGGGTGGCTGGCAGATTACGGGCCCTCCCATAGCTGCTGCCAGGCCCCTAATCTGCCATAGGCCCCTATATACCCGCCTCCTCATGCTGCTGCCAGGTCCAGAGTCTGTCATGGGTCCCTGTAACGGCCTCCCATTGCTGCTGTCTCCATCGCCACACACTCTGCCATGTGCCACTTTCAGGTCTCCTCACACACTGCTGGTGTGTGTGTTCAATTTTTTGACATAGGGTGCTGGCAGATTACGGGCCTCCCATAGCTGCTGCCAGGCCCCCTAATCTGCCATAGGCCCCTATATACCGCCTCCTCATGAGCTTGCTGCCAGGTCCAGAGTCTGTCATGGGTCCCTGTACGGCCTCCCATTGCTGCTGTCTCCATCGCCCACACACTCTGCCATGTGCCACTTTCAGGTCTCCTCACACACTGCTGGTGTGTTAGAATTTTTTGACATAGGGTGCTGGCAGATTACGGGCCTCCCATAGCTGCTGCCCAGGCCCCTAATCTGCCATAGGCCCCTATATACCTCCAGCTTGCTCCTCATGCTGCTGCCAATAGGCCTCCAGAGTCTCTCATGGGTCCCTGTACGGCCTCCCATTGCTGCTGTCTCCATTCCTCCCATAGCTGCCACACTCTGCCATGTGCCACTTTCAGGTCTCCTCACACTGCTGGTGCTGGGTGTAGAATTTTTTGACATAGGGTGTGCTGGCAGATTACGGCCCCCCATAGCTGCTGCCAGGCCCCTAATCTGCCATAGGCCCCCTATATACCCGCCTCCTATAATGCCTGCCTCCAGAGTCTCACCATCCATAATTTTTTGACATATGAGCCTGCTGCAGATTAAGGGCCTCCCAAGCTGCTGTCTGTCATGGGTCCCTCAGGTAACGGCCATCCCATCCCATGCTGCTGTCTCCATCGCCACACTCTGCCATGTGCCACTTTCAGGTCTCCTCAACACTGCTGGTGTGTGTAGAATTTTTTTGACATAGGGTGCTGGCAGATTACGGGCCTCCCATAGCTGCTGCCAGGCCCCTAATCTGCCCATAGGCCCCCTATATATACCGCCTCCTCATGCCTCCTCATGCTGCTGGGCCAAGTCCCCAGAGTCCAGAGTGCATCTCTCCAATGGGTCCCTGTACGGCCTCCCATTGCTGCTGTCTCCTCCATCGCCACACTCCCCCATGTGCCAGGTCCAAGTTTCAGGTCTCCCTCACACGCCACTGCTGGTGTGTTTCCATTTTTTGACATAGGGTGCTGGCAGATTACGGGCCTCCCATAGCTGCTGCCAGGCCCCTAATCTGCCCATGGGCCCCTAATATACCAAGCCGACTCCTCATGCTGTGACGTTGCAACAAGGTGGGGAATTCAACCCTACATAATGTTTGACCTTCTGCACGCCCACGAACAGCCAAAAGGTCCCCTCACACTGATTTCCTGATGTCTTAGGGCTCAAGCGGATAAAGGTACCATTCCCTGTGTAACTTAGATGTCAGCCATTGGCAGCTCATGCGTGACACCCTGCGCTTGCCCTCAAGGCCCTTTTGATTTCCTGAGGCCCACACGCTATTCGTGAGTCGGCAGGACTATGGGATTGAACGACGTTTTCCTCTGTTGCACGTGTGGAACAAATGCCAATGTCTCCATTTCAACAATGCTGGTCCAGGGTTTGCACGGTAGAACAAATTCTGTTACCATGCTGGTCAGGCACGGTAACATCTCAACGCCCCATGACCCCTGTGGGGGGCAGGACAGGGAAGAAGAGCAGGAAGAGGTAGAGGAGGACATTGGTGCTCAGGAATTATTGAGTGAAATGGGTGGTTTTTTTCCACTCAGCCGACAGGAGTGGAGGAGCAGGAGCATCTGGTAGAGAGGAGGAGGAGGAGAGGAGGACAGAGGAACTTGACCCATAGACGCACCGTGGGCAGTATGCCAGTTGTGTGAGATGGAGGCAGGGAGTCCCCCTCGCATTCCCTTGGCACAAATGGCCCCCATAGCATGCATCAGTCTGCTCTTTAGCTTGCGTAGCGACGACAGCCGAATAATCTAACCATCAGACAGAGAGGATGACTGACCCATTTTGGCTGTCCACCTTGTTGGACCCCCTCGCTACCAGTTTTCAAAAATGGTGGCCTTTTTTTTCATGGGATGCTGAGAGGGAGGCCCAAAATAACGTACTATAAAAAACCACCTATGTAGTCAGCTGGTCTCTCTGCCTGTCTGCGCCAACGTCCATCCTCAGACACTGTGGGCCCTGTGCGCTGCGCGTTCCGCTGCCATGCTGGCAGCAGGGGAGGGGTGGGGTGGGTAGGGAGTGCAGCAGTGGCAGCTCCCACATCTGCAGCAGATTCACTCGCCTGCCCGACTCATCCTGCAGTCGATGATGAGTAAGCTTTCTTCACCAGCGCAGTGAAGGAAACTACTAACCAGCCCAGCAGCAGCAGCAGCAGCAAGCATCAGGTGGACCTGGAGCAGGACCTCAAACAACAGGCTTAGGCCTACTTGGACAGCACCCTGCCAACCGAGGTAGACAATCCCCTTGACTACTGGCAACGAAACTTGACCTTTGGCCCAACTAGCTGAATTTTTGCCCTTGAAAGCTGTCATGCCCGGCCAGTAGCGTGGCATCGGCCAGCGCGTGTTTAGTGCGGCAGGAGGTATTGCAACTCCGCGGAGGACACGAATACACTGGTCCACAATGGGACTCCCCCAAAGTGTGGAGAGACTGACGTTTTGTGAAAATGAATCAGGCGTGGATTAGTCTGGATTTTCAAAACCACCAGTTCCTGACACAACTGACTAAATCCGCCCATGAATCATGCTGCCCAAAAACATGTGCCCACACTTTTCAGGTCTCCCCCAAATCACACACTGCTGCCACACTCTGTGTTTTCCATTTTTTGTCCTCATAGGGTGCTGGCAGATTACGGGCCCTCCCATAGCTGCTGCCAGGCCCCCCCTAATAATCTGCCCCCATGGGCCCCCCCTATACCGCCTCCCAGCTCATGCTGCTGCCAAGGTCCAAGTCCAGAGTCTCTCATGGGTCCCTGTACGGCCTCCCATTGCTGCTGTCGTCTCCATCGCCACACTCTGCCATGTGCCACTTTTTCAGGTCTCTCCTCACACTGCTGGTGTATTTCCATTTTTTTTTGTCATAGGGTGCTGGCAGATTACGGGGCTCCTCCCATAGCTGCTGCCAGGCCCCTAATCTGCCATGGGCCCCTATATACCGCCTCCTCATGCTGCTGCCAGGTCCAGAGTGTGTCATGGGTCCCTGTACGGCCCCTCCCATTGCTGCTGTCTCCACCATCGCCACACTCTGCCATGTGCCACTTTCAGGTCTCCTCACACTGCTGGTGGGTTCCCATTTTTTGTCATAGGGTGCTGGCAGATTACGGGCCTCCCATAGCTGCTGCTGCTGCCAGGCCCCTAAATCCGCCTGCCATGGGCCCCCGCCTGCCAGGTCCAGAGTGTGTCATGCCCTGCTGCCAGCTGCCCATCGTATCTGTCCCAGTCCCATCGCCTCATGGACTGCTGTCATGGGTCCCATATTTTGTCATAGGGTGCCAGATTTACTCCTCCCATAGCTGCTGCCAGCCCTAATTGCAATTTTCATGCTCTGCCAGTCCAACGCCTTTTCCGCTCAGCATATTCTCTCGTTCAGATCCCTTCTCCTGCTACTCCTCTTCACGGATTCCGTCAGCAGTCTTTCTTGGAATCCATTTCCAAGAGACAACAGTTTGCGAGCACGCACCAGACGGTGCAGAAACTGAACGTCCTCCTGTCCAAGTTGCTGCTGCCCAGGCTTGTAATCTGTCATGCGCCCCTGTACCGCCCTCCCTCATGCTGCTGCCAGGTCCAGAGTGTGTCATGGGCCCCCGTACCGACTCCAAATGCTGCTGCCAGGCCCGTAATCTGTCATGGGCCCCTGTACCACCTCCCCATGCTGCTGCCAGGTCCAGATTGTGTCATGGGTCCCTGTACGGGCTCCCATTGCTGCTGCCAGGCCTGTAATCTGCCATGGGCCCCCCTACCGACTCCTCATGCATGCTGCTGCCAGGCCCGTAATCTGCCATGGGCCCCTGTACCGCCTCCTCATGCTGCTGCCAGGTCCAGAGTGTGTCATGGGTCCCTGTACGGCCTCCCATTGCTGCTGTCTCTATCGCCACACTCTGCCATGTGCCACTTTCAGGTCTCCTCACACTGCTGGTGGTTTTCCATTTTTGTCATAGGGTGCTGCATGGCCTCCCATTGCTGCTGCCTCCACCGCCACACTGTGGCTCCACACTCTGGTTTTGGCCCCGTGACTGGCCAAATGAGTGAAGTGTGCGGTGATTCTAAGATCGACGGCACTCATCTGCATGTCATACTGCCTGACAGTATTATTTCTCTTCCCCAGCAGACTCCAAGGGCATTTAAATTAAAGGTAAGTGTTCAGCACTAATATTAAGTCTCTCTGAAGCCTAGAAACACCCTTTTTTAAGTTAAATTCACAGCGAATATATTCGACTCGAATCGAATTTTTTCTACGAATTCGCCGAATCAGTCGAATCGAATTTTTGAATACTTCGCTCATCTCTATCTGTAGTGTTAGAAATAACCAGTTAAAGTTGACATTATCAAAGGCCTTTTCGGCATCTAGGGATATGATCGCTATGTCCTGGAGAGGATTAAGTTTAGCATGATTGAGGACTGTTAAGACCTTACGTATATTGGAAGCGGCTGAGCGGCCCTGGACAAAACCTGCTTGGGAGGGGTGGATTAGTGTAGGTAAGATTAAGGCCAGTCGGTTTTCTATGATTTTAGAAAGCAATTTAACATCAAGGTTCAGTAGAGATATTGGGCGGTATGAGCCTGGATTAGTAGGGTCTTTGTCTTTTTTAGCTATGAGTTTGATGTACGCCTGAAAACCAGAGGGCAGGTATTCTCCTCCCTCTTGAATTGTTTGGAACACTGTCTGCAGGGTAGGTGTAAGGGTTTTGGTCATAAGTTTGTAGAACTCTGCGGTGTATCCGTCAGGCCCTGGGGCTTTTCCATTTGCTAGGGATTGGATAGCCCGGCTAATATCCATTTGAGATATCGGGGCATTAAGGGATTGGAGTGTAGTAGTGTCAATTTGCGGGAGGTCAAGTTTTTTCTAGAAAAGTGATGGCCCGGTCTGTGTCAATGGGGTCAATGTCATAGAGATTTGCGAAGAATTTTTCCAGTATAGAGATTATATCTTCTGAGGTCGTTTTTTGTATGCCCTGGGTGTCCTTTAGTGCGGTGAAGTGGGTGGGAACGAAAGGTTTTCTACATAGGCGTGCCAGAAGTTTGCCCGGTTTATTTCCGTATTTGTGGTATTGAAGATCTAGATAGGATTTATGTATGGACTCTTGGGCTTCTGCCCAGGTGTCAAATTGGAGTTTGGCATCTGCCCATTCCTTTCTATTTTGATGGGAGTTGAGGTCCGCCAGATGCCTTTAAGCTCGTCTTAATCTTTGACTAGCTTCTGTGTATTTATGAAGGAGATTTTTCTTATAAGCTGATGTGAATGCAATAATTCTACCTCGTAATACCGCCTTGCCTGTATCCCAGAATAGATTCGGATTAGACAAGTGGGCAGCATTGGTATCACAGAACTCACTCCAGGCGTCTCGTAACACCCGGAATAGGTCCTGATTGTTTGCTAGATGTGAAGGAATGCGCCATGTATATGCCTGAGGGCTGGGTGTTAGATGTTGAAGGGATATGGAGATCGGAGCGTGGTCTGAGACCGCAATGTCATGAATAATAGAGTCTGAGATTTGTTGTAACAGAGTAGGGTTGGTGAAGAAGTAATCAATTCTAGACAAAGAGTTGTGTACTGGGGAAAAGAAGGTGAAATCTTTACCATCTGGATGCGCCAATCGCCAGATGTCTATGAGTTGGAGTGCCTCAGCAAAGTTGTTAAGCAACGTGCAAGGTGGGGAAGGAGTGGAGGGGAGCTGTCTGGTATGGTCGGTCGACCTTGACTTATCTTCCTGCAAGTTCATGCAAGAGTTAAAGTCTCCCCCTATTATAAGTGGGAGATGCATATATTTTGAGATTTTGTGCGATAAGTCCTGAAAGAAGTGTTTGGGAGGAGAGTTTGGAGCATAGATATTTGTTATTACCAACGAGGAGGAGCGCAACTTGAGATGTACGGTAATAAATCGTCCCTCCTCATCCGTCTCTATTGATAGAATCTCAGGGGTGAGTCGTTTGTGTATTAGGATTAAAACTCCTGCTTTGTGGCGAGGTGAAGAGGAGCCGTATACCTTACCCACCCATAGCTTCTGCATGCGTGTAAAATCTGTTTGGGACAAGTGTGTTTCTTGGAGTAGCGCTATGTCAGTCTTCAACCGCTGGAGGTGACGCAAGACCGCCATGCGCTTGTGGGGTGATCTCAGGCCTTTCACGTTCCATGAAATAATGCGTGTCATGGTATTGGGAAGTCTTGGATGTGATGGATAGGTTTTGCATCATCTGAGAATAGTGTACGTCTGTTAAGCTCGAATCTATCTTCCAGGTTAGGTTTAAGGCAGTAGGGGGGCCATGGGGGATAGGGGCTCTCCGGGCGGGAAAGAAGAAAAAAAGAAGAAAATAGACAGGAGAGGAAAACTAGGTAAGACCCAACAAGGGTCGTTTGAACAAACAAAAATTCTGATAAACACAAATACAGCCTGAACCTCTCTTTTTTCCGCATGTTGCCTCTAAACTTTGACCAGCGTAACCGTAACTGAAAAAAGAATGGACCTACAGCGGGGGAAGGGGAATTTTGCGAGTGGGTGGTGATCAAAAAAGGGTGCTCTAGTTAGGAGATAGCTGTTTGGCATGGGGGGGACTTCTTATCCCTGAGATCCGCAGCGTTACGATGGTCAAAGCAGTTTTAAGGGGTAGTCATTACCAGAGCACGTATCTTTGGCAGCCGCTCATACGTCCTGACGATCCCCCAAGTAACCCTGGCCGTAGCCATAACATTGATAAATGACCTTTTCAAACGCATCAAAATACAATAGGAGACAAAGTTAGTTTCCTGAACGAGTATAACAGATAGTCATAACATATGTGGTTCTCAAACCAGAAGGCGTGTAACGTAGCCTAGAAATTGGTGACCAAGAGAGCATCGTGGTAATCATTAGGTGAAAGAGGAATAAACGCGCCATTTTGTTATTAGACCTCATCAGGGTGGTTTTGGCTTGGCCAAGGAGGTGTTGATTCGCTGTCGTTTTGGTGGGTCCTTGCGGGGGCTGCGTTGGTCTCTTGAGCCTGTGTTTTGGACTGCTGAATGTGAAAGCGAAGGGTCTCGAATATCCGACATATTACTCTGGATATACTGGAGGGCTTCTTCAGGGTGGACAAAGGATTTAGAGTCTCCCGTGGGGGTGGTGAAGCGCAAAGTGGCTGGGTATGCTAGGGTAAATTTTATCCCTTTTTGGTAAAGGTTTGCGCATATTTGTTGAAAAGATTTGCATTTTCGAGCAACTTCTTGTGAATAGTCTGCAAATAGGAGTAATTTATGACCATCTACTTGAAGTGAGCGGGAGTTTCGAAAAGAGTTGAGGATAGCCACGCGGTCTGCATAATTGAGATATTTGACTATGATTGAGCGTGGAGTACGTCGATCATTTGAGGGTGCCCCTAGGCGGTGTGCTCTTTCAACTTGACATGGCGTGGTTATGCCTAAAGCGGCGGGAATGTGCGTGCAGCATATGTCCGCTAGGGTGCACGAGTTGAAAGATTCAGGGAGTCCTATGACCCGTAAGTTGTTCCTGCGTGAACGGTTTTCCAGGTCATCAATTTTTTCCAAGATGGTCTGCTGCACACGTTTGGATTGTGCGGTTCCCGCCTGAATAGCTTGAAGATCGTCTTCTAAATCTGACAGTCGCTGTTCCGCGTCAGTGATGCGTTTAGCGTTGTCACCCATATCTCTTCTAAGCTGCTCTATTCCCATTGCCACTGCTCTGTCAACAGCTTGGGTGATAGTGGGTAACAGTAAGGAAGCCACAGCCTGTGCTATCTTGTCATACTGATCTGCTGGACTACAGGTGACAGCATGGCACTGTATGGACGTGGCATGTGTGTGTGTCACTGCCATACCTTGTCCTGTGTCCATGCTGCTGCTGCTGCTGCTGTGCTCGGCGGCCATCTTGGCTGCAGAAGGGGGAGAGCTGTTTCCCTCTGCCTCCACGGCTGATCCAGGGCCGTTTGGGACCGGGAGCAGGAATCGGTCCATGCCTGGTGAGTGTGGGGGGGATCGGGGGGGCACTTTTAAGCTGAGTAGGTCCTCCCCAGCTGAGGTGTGCTGGCTTAATATGCTTAATATGCCGGAGCCGCGGGTCTCACCGTCTTCACATGCGGCGCCGGAACCGGAAG